AAAAGAAAAAGCCCAACTACCCTTTCAATACCCAAAAAGGATAGCGATCATTTAGCCACCAAGCAACTATGTTAGACGTATGTCATAGATTCGATGCTTTATTCATTTTGCTCCTTCAAATTTAATGGGTACGAGACCATCATTTTGGTCTCCTTCTTGATAGTTAGACTCATAATATCTCCTGATAGCTATAGTAGGCATGATATATTTTGTCCCACATTACAAACTATAACAATAACGTAGACAAGAGTTAGTAATAAACTTTTAAAGGTAGATTAAAGGAAACAATAATTTAATATACCACAGACTGCTCCCCTAGTTTTTATGTTAAGAGTAGCCAAAGCCTCACTAATTGAGCTGTCGATGTTGTATCTGGCAATACAAGGAATATGCATATCGATTACACAATAGAGAGAAGGTTGATGAAAATTTAAGAAGAAAAGATGAACTAACCCATTAGACAATATGGGTTCTACGTATTATGCCCCACCTCCAAGTGGTGCAGAGTCCTTAATAATATGTCCATCGCTAAATTATTGATATAATACATAATGGTGGTCTGAAAAGTGATTCCCTTGTCAAATAATTGAATTAGTGGAATCGAAATTTGGCTCTTATACAACTTAGCTTAGATAACAATAATATAAATAATATTCCAATAATTTCTTTTAAAACCACTTTGGCTTCTATGGATTATGATAGCAGTGGATTCAATGACTAGTTAGGAAATTGATGGAAGAGAAATTAAAGGTAAATTTTAAGAGTTAAAAATTATTTTCATTACTTATATTATTTTTTTGCCGTTACCAAATGTGCAGTTGAAGACAATGTATATAAGATATGGGGACTAAAAACCAATCTAGTAGCTACAATAGCTAGACAAGCATATCACTGCATATACAGGTTCAACTGTTTCAATGAGAAGGTAATAGCAAATTTTCAATTTCATCAATTGAAAAAATAACAGGAAGAATGATTAAAAAAAGCTGAAAATTAGTAAATTTCAAATCAGGTTTGTTAACAACACTTTATTTAATGTTGACAATACTGAATTTGTAAATGATAACAAATTTTTGTTGACATTCTTCATTTGGTATTTATAAATTTTCAACTTCTTTTTTTATGTCATTTTCTTAAAAAAATATTCATCAAATTAAAGCAAATATCAAGGAAAAATTAATCTCTTGGTTCTTGTAGTTTTCGCTCATTTATAACTCAATCCTTATACTTTGACTCGGTGCAACTCAATCCCTATAGTTTTAACTCAGTTGTAAGTTAGTTCTTGAAGTTTGACTCGCTGCAAATCAACCCTTATACTTTTAATCATTTTTTAATTTAGTCCTTCCTTTTATTAGATATATAATTTTATTTTTCAAAAACACAAGGACTAAATTATAAAATGGATAAAACTACAAGGATCGAGTTGCAACGAATTAAACTTCAAGGACTGAGTTACAGCCGAGTCAAAACTATAAGGACTGACCTGTATCGACTCAATGTATAAAGACTGAGTTACAAACATGTCTAAACTATAAAGACCAAAAAATTAATTTTCCCGAATATCAATTGTTTTCTTTTTTTTAATTGCCAAAAATGTGAAAATGAAGAAAAACTTAAATTTTCACTTAGGGAAGCTACAGAACAATTTTATGAGATGCTAAGCAACGCCACTGATAGAGTTGAGAAATTAGATGAGTATGAGACAAGACTTTTATAAATTCAGTTGCCCAAACCATCCCAGAGGGATGGTATGAGGATGGGGAAACTCACATCTTTTATTAACCAACTAGAAATTCTTCTCCCGATGCGCGAATTAGTATATTTAATTAAATTTAAAATTATAATAAATTACATTATTTATTATAGCTCAAGATTTACTTTTTATAAGAGTATAATCTTTTTATTTATTCAAATAAAACTTGAATCATAGATGCGGAATTTAGGAGAAATCGATAAAAATTTAAATTTATTTATTTATTTTTTCATTTAAAACTCCAATTAACATACTATTTAATTATAATGCTCCACGTTTAATGCAATATATTCAAATTCAAATTAAAATATTATTCAAATTTAAAATTAATTATTAATTTCTTCATTTAAGCTTCTAATTGAATTTCATTTATTTATAATGTTTCTCATATTCAAATTTCAATTAATATATTATTCAAATCTCATTAATTAAATATATTCATATCCATTAATGTCATACCCAACCCATTTTCAAACCAAAAAGGTATTACAAGTTTTTAGGAATATAGTTGATGATTCTTTTTTCCTAATAATTGAATTATCTGACAATAAATTTTTTTTCAAATCGCAAGTCTTTATGGCATCAACAGTCTAGTTAAGGAAGATATAATATTAACAAAGAATTATGTCATAACTGGAAGTAGGGGCAGAACTCGTGTCAGCAAAAAAGTTAGTTAACCTTTCATCCATAAATTTCCATCAAGTTTAGCTCTATAATACTCCTCCGGTCCTTATTATAAAATCTCATTTGACTTTTTATTTAGTCCTAATTATAAGACCCCAATCCATTTTGTCTCTTATATTTATACATTTTTTTCCAAGATAATCCTTCTAATAATGATAGTTTTAGCCAATATACTTAATTAGCAAGGATATTTTAGGAATGACAACGCTTATTTATTATAAATAACCAACTTAACTTACTTTCTTAATCTCCTCAAATAAATCAATTGAGTCTTATAATTAGGACCGGAGGAGTACAATTTATATAATGATATACACACTCTTTATATTACTAGGTATAGAGAGGACATGTCAATTGATGACGCTTTGGAGCTTGCCCAAAAAGCAACGCACCAGCCAGTTACTAACGACAGGCAAAATGGGGGAGCTGTCATCCATACATAACATATTTTTATTTTTTTTATCTGCTCTCAAAATTTTTTACCGACTATAATTATACTATTGTTATAGTTTGCCTCGTGGGACAATGGGAATCAATGGAATTATGGCGCGGTAATATCACGGGTCGTTATAATCCTCACTATAACGAGGAAGCTCATCACTGTAAAGATGAAGATAGCAAAGAGGAATGTCCTCCTGATCCCATGGATGTTGAGGGAGGGAAGGAGGTTGAAGAAGAAGAAGGACTAGTGCCAATGAAATTCAAAGGGATGAAGAGAATAAAGCCTTAAAATTAGCTTATGTTTCAACGATTATGATTACGTTAGTTTTAAATTGAAAACATTTTAAAATTTCATTTTTATACAGTATATTGGTTTGAGATCATTGAAATTGGAATCATTGATTTGGGATATTCAAATTTTAGTGGCATTTATGTGAAATATTTCTTTGATTCATTGAATATGTAAATTTCTTAAAATTATAATAATTTCTCCCTCATCAGTTCCCTAACAATATGATTGTTAAAACTTTAATACCCACCACTCACCGGATCGAAACTTGGCTATGATACCGAATTATTAAATCCTTATCTTATATTTTAGGATAGAGAAATTACTCAATCAATCTATCTATTATTAATATATAATAGTATAGTACAAAGCAACGCTCACCAAAAGGCACCATGTGGCTTCACCAGGATACAGCTAAATTGGCATTATTTTCCTATTTAAATTTAATAGTTTCTTATTTAATAATTATAAATGAAAAATAAGCCCCTTGTAGCGGTTTGTTTGTTGTGTGCGCCTTAGGACTTGTTTGGATTGACTTATAAGTAGCTTTTTAAACGTGATTTATGGAATATGATGTAAGTATAAAGAAAATTTTGTCTCGATTTACGTGAACTTAGTTAAAAGTCTTTTTTGAAAGGAGCTCCCATCAAGCTCTTAGTTTTCAAATAAATTTATTTGAACATTTTTATTTGAGATTGCTTTAATTAAAATTTATGATAAATTTAGGGAAAAACGAAATAAATAACTCTACATCATGACTAATGATAATATTTGCTCAAAAATTTAAAAATACATGGACGGAGCAATTTGTTCAGCATTTAAATGAAGGAGAAAAACCAGGTGAGGTAGGGATTTTGGGGTTCCAATCCTGATAACTAGCCAACAGTGATAATGAGTCATGCTAGTAGTTTAGGACGTGTGGTTGGAAGGGGAGGAAAAATAAGCCTCTCTCCTCATTTGTTCGAAATTTTGGAGGGGCCCCAATTAATTGTGAGAAATCTAAAATCCATGTGTGGCAATCATTCCAGCCTTCTTCAAGGTCTAAGCAATGCTGACTTTTTTTTTCAGCCCCCAATTATAAGCACAAAAGTCATAGCTTCGTCTGGCCGCATCCTAAAATTTCAATGAAAAAGAATTAAAGTGAGAATAGTTCAGATATAGTAAATAGTAAATAGAATTGGCCAAGATAAAAAAAAAAGATAGAGAAAGATATTTGCCAAATAGCAAGTTTTTTTGGCCTGAACTTAATAGTAAGTTACTAATAATCCCATCGTTGGAGGGAAAACAAGGAAAACTAAACTGAATTGGTTAAAATAGTGATTTAGGAATCGAAAGTCCAAATCGAGCAAGGCTAATCATAATTGAAATAATATAATTTTATTTAAAATATATAAAAATACTGTTCAGTACTCTTAACAGGATCCACTGATAGGTTCCAAAAAATTGGGTTTCAGCACCTTCCATTATACTACTTCCAATCCTAATTATAAGAGTTAGTTGACTAATTTAAAGAATTAAGAAAACAAGTTAAGCTAGTTATTTGTAATAAATATGTATTGTCTTTTTTAAAATATCCTTACTAATCAAGTTTGTTGGTTAAAACTACTTTATTAGAAGGACTATTTTAAAAAATACATAAATATTAGAAATAAAATAGGTTAAGATCTTATAATTAAAACTAAAATAAAAATCAAACAAAATTTTATATTAAAGACCAGAAATAATACTTGATTTATTTTTTTAACTGATTGCACTTTTGTGGATCTCGCATAGTCTGCTTCAAACCAAATTAGAGCCCAAAAAACCAAAGGCAACAACATATAAATAAATAACTGACCTCAGAATCCAGATGTACAAACATATTATATAACATAGATGATGCAAAAACAGAGTCTCAAGAAGGAGCATTATGTAGTAGCCACACCATACTTCTCTATGCTATTAACTATTAGCCCATCATACAGTGCTCCGGTAGGTGGCAGGAGTAGGGACTGTGTCCCGAAAAGACCAAAAGAAATAAAGTGAAAAAGAAGAAGAAGAAGAAGCAGAGATATGAATATGATCACGTCTTAGTTAATTAACAGACTCTCATGAATACTCATTCTGCACAGCTAGCATAGAATGCCTTTCAAGTTCAACCCCAACAGAACTGAATCATGAAGATGCATGAGAACAGCACGGCTGAGATGCAAGAGTAGATACACGTCTCCACGAGTCTAAGCCCGCTGTGGCTATCATCGGAGTTCATGCCTGCTCCCGACGGCCCTAGGCTGCCGCTGCCGATGCCTCCAAATACTCCCGGCGCCGTACCATACGGAGTGGCCGTCGAGGTGGTCGAAGACGATGGCATCCCACTGCTGGTGGCTGTTGAAGATGAACTCCCGGTGGAAGGCGTGGCTGCCGTTGGGGACCCACTACCTGCATTGCTGGTTACCAGAAACAACACCCCAAATTGTTTCTTGGATCATTAGGACTTTGAATCCAGCCCAACAATAAATTATTAACGTATAAATATTAAGGAAATTAAATATGACATAATATTCCATGCAAACGGAATTGCAACTGAAAATGAGCTCAAGCTGCAAATTTATGTGCCACGAGCAGGTTAAGATATCCGATAAGTTCGTCCTCATTCATCCTAATCAAAGCCGGTTGAAAGCTTATAAATTCTCGTACTATGTATGGGTATTTAAAAAAAAAAAACTTGAACCAAAATGCATGTATAGTGTTTTTAACTGAACCAAAAAAAAAAAAAACAGATCGACCATTCTAACAAAATTTAGCATTATTCACTCGTTTAACCAAAACACAAACTTTATAACAACCAGGTTGTGCAACCGGCAAAACACAAACTTTATAATTACCCTTCGAGTAGGAAATCAAGAAGGGAACCTAAAAAGCTTGAGCGAGAGGTGGAACTCTAGCCAAAAGCTAGATGTTGAGACAAAAGAAGCAAGAACTTAAATATCTGATTGACCATCTCATACTACTTAATATGAGATTTAAGAATATCACATTATCAAGTTTTTGTATTAATTTAAAGTGAAAAGGGAGGAGCTAAGCTATGAAGGTACACAAAGATGAAGAGATACACGAACGTGGGCTTTTTAAAAAGAAGGCTCGGACATCAAAACAAATGATAATGCGCCTCACCGTCATCAGCCATATGCAAAATCAATCACAGTATTATCCATGGTGTCCACTTCCCCCACTTTTTGACTGCTTTGTAACTTTATTTCATCGGCCCAAAAAAAAAAAAAAACAAAAGCAAAAGGCCATCACAGCCGCCACCCCACTACCACTAGGGACACAATTGTCCTTTTTTCGTCCTTGATCCCTAAAGAATAAGATAATGATTGAGGTTTTCTCAATTGTCTTAAAATAAGATAAAACATTTTAAAAAATTCTGAGGTAAAAAAGAGGTGATGCTTGAAAACTGGAAAGATAAGATAGATAAGGCTCATAAATGATTTGAGAATGATCTTTTGTAATGTCTAGCTCAATCCCTTTTAAATCCTTTCTAACACGAGACAGCTAAGTTTTCAAAATAATGATCGTTTCTCTAGTTTTTCATTATGTAATTTCCACGAGGCCCGTGCTTCAGAGGAAGGCATCGGATCCCAATTACTGCGGCGTCTTTGTATCCAGCTTGCGAGTACGTACGATGACTAAATTATGACCAATGAGTCGTGAACAAATGTATTGGTCACATTCGAAAAGGTACTCATATCCGTTGGATCAGGCCCACAAACAGTAACATTTATACCAAGCAGCAAGCAACATAGAAAATGAAGGTACAAAAAGAAAAGCAAAAGGGAAAAGGAAAAGTGGCTCGCTAGATTTTTCCTATCTACTCAGTACAAAATAATAAATGTGAACACACAGAGCTTATAAAAATATGAATAATAATAAATGTAGGCGTTTTAAATTAATAATAAATGTTTCATTTTGGTTTTCTTACATCCAAACCAGATCTCATTAGATGTCATTTTCAGTAATTCCCTATCGTTTTCTCACACGCCAAACAAAGACATATTTCAGGTGAATTATTGGTACAAATCCTTAATGAGTTTTCCGTGCGTGAACTGGGGGAACAGTTTCAAATTTTTTTTTTTTTAGAAAAAAAAACTCCACCACTTTTCTCCTACATAATGCGCCCAAGGAATTTCAAATTATTACATGTACAGTGCTTTATCCATGATTAGCCACACACAAGTTTATTTCCAATAGTTTATAGTTTATACTGGCATGCCAGAAAAACACTGATTTGCACCCCTTTACCTTTCGGCCTGATTTTGTTGCAACCCTGCTTAGACTCTTGGGAACCACCGAATATATGAGGCGCCACCTAAAGCAACTTCATTTGAGGTCAATTCATCTATGCAGTCGCTAGCCCCATCGTCCCAAAAGTAAAGTTGCCGCTTTAATTGCCTTTAAAGGTTTTGTTTAAAGATGACCACGATAAGCAGATATGAGAGGAAAGATTGGGCCTGTTTTTGCTATTTTGAATTTTACAAGTGAACTCCACTACTTGTTCCTTTTCTCTCTCTTTACCCCATCTTAAGTTTTACTTTAATCTTCTTCAAAAAAATCCAAATCCGTGAAGTTCAGTTCAAGTGATACGGCATTGATAAATACTCACATACCAGGCTTCAACTAGGATCTTTAGGTCATTAAAGAGGTAAAATCACTACTATGCTTAAATAAACAGCTAAGGGAAGCTAAAAAAAGTGAGATGATAAAAGAAACAGCGAACGAAAATGCAAGCTAAAGGAGAGAAATGCTTACGTGGAGCTTGAAGGGTAGACACAGCCAGATGTACCTGCTCGTCATCAACCAGAAGAAAATGCAGGGTCAGATATATATATTGGAACCGTTTGTTTGGTGAGAGAAAGAAAGAGGAGGAGAACTGACCGGGGTTAGAGGCGGTGAGAGTGGCGGTGCCGGCGAAGTCACAGGCGCCGGAGGACTGAGACTTGCGTTGGAAGTAGCTGTTAACGGCGTAGTTGCAGTGAGCCCTCACGGTGTTAGGTTGGAAGCAAGGTCCGCTCGGACGGATGGGGTTACAGTCAGCTCCTGCTCCACAAGCATAGTCCAGCGTCTTCTGCAACACTTGGTCGCTTCCGTCCTTGCAGACGCACCAGTTCCCACCTTCCACAATTCAAAACCCAGACCAAGTAAAAATCAACACAGATTTATACAGACTCTCTAAGTTGGAGAAAAAGAAGAATGCGTACTGGAAAGGGGGGTGAAGGCCACAAGAGCGAGTGCCAGAAGTAGAAGAGAAGCCATGTTTGAGGAATACAAGAAAGAAGCTGGATGGATGAGAGAGAGAGAAGGATGGGAAGAGAAAATATGACAAATGAGAGATGGGGATACGTGTAAATGGCCTGCTATAAAGTCGGATGACAGTGGCCGCCCCTTTAATTCCGGTGTCGTTTTGTGCTGGCTTTTTCATGTTGCTGTAAATAAAAATTACTTTTCAAAATTATGGAAGTCCTTAAAATTTAGACATATTGTCATCAATTAATAGTAATACGTATATTATCTTTATAATTTAGAGTAAGGATATCTTATTTTTGTGCTGATTTTTTTAAAAGTTCCGAGGGGTCGTGGGCCCTTGAATCGGGCAGAGCTCTTTACCCGCTATCGAGGACAGAAAAATACAGAAGCATTGGGAGTTGCGAAAAGCGAATAGGGCGGAAAATAAAAGAGGCGCAGTCTTGCACCGCTTTCTGGAGCCTTGAAACATTTCAAAGCGCACCGGAGTCACTGATTTTTGTCTTTTTTTAATGGGCACACACTAAAAGCATGAATTCACAACAGCACGTACAATTTTTGGCCAACCACAACAGCACGTACAATTCGGAACTTTTACTTTAAAAAAAAAGTCTCATGAAACTGGACTATGAGATGCTAACTAGCAAGGTAATACTCTTCCGGTTCTTAATATAAGACTTAATTTTTAAATTGGTTTTGGTCCTAAATATAAGACTCATTTCTCATATTTATCAATTTTCTTTAAATTACCCCTATAGATACTCTCCCCCCATAATCAAGTAGAAGAGGGAGAGGGGTATTAAGAAAGATGATTATGGTATTTTGGGAAAAATGTGTCACTTTTCTTATAATTAACTAACTTACTTAACTTTCTTAATCTAATCAAATTAGTTAAATGGGTCTTATATTTAAGATCGGAAAAGTAATTTTTTTAAAATTAGAAAGACATATACTAGTGGTCTAAGATAATAAATGAGATCAAATCAAAGTTTTTATATCACTGAATTACCCCAGCTATAGTGGACACCTCCAATCGTACGGAGTATTACTTCTAAATGGGCTAATGAGTTCCATCTTGATGATACACTTTACATCTCAGAACAAAAACAATCCTTGAACTCTTTAAGCATAAATCAGAAATGAGATTTTGAGGAGTCTAAGTGAAAAAGAGAGCCATCAAGTGGATTGGGCAGGAAAGGCTCCAAGCTGCCGCCACATGCACAGAGATGACCTTGGGCCATACCCATGGCCTCTTAGTAACAGTGCTCACCATTTAATCGGCTTCTCTGGGACTTCACTTACGAATACTTTAACCCAACTGGGCTTATTCTTTTTTTTTTTTAACAAAAGAAATGAAATACGTTAAGTGAGTTGGATACTGAGGGCTCATCAAAACCCATACATACCTTCAAGTTCAAAAAACACTTACAAAGATACTTACAGATCGTCCACTAACAAGATTCTCAAATTGGCAGCGGGATTCGAACTCACGACCTTGTGGGTTATGAACTGACTCCTTACTGATTAGACCAACTCTTATTGAAAATACCGTATGATTATTTCAATACACAAACAACTAATGGAGTTTGTTCAATTGATAAAGACTCAATTCATAACTCATAAAGTCATAAGTTTAAATTTTGCTCCTGATACGAGGGCTTTGTTAGTAGATAATCTGTGCATACTTTTGTAAAATGTCTCCAAATTTTAAGATATGTCTTCACCTTTGTGAACTCGCAGATATTTAAGTTATCTAAGTTTTTGTATTTAAAAAAAAACACACAGACGCAGATCCAAATTCAATTGCCTTACTGCTACCTTGGTCGCTTACGGTTAGTTGCCTAAACGGCAACGCTGGTGTCCAGTGTGAGGCTGGTATTTCCGTTTGTTTGGCTTTTAAAACACTGCGGTATTAAAAATGTAAATTAATATTAATACATAATTGATGACTGACATTGATAATTGAATATTGAATTGGTGACTCTATATATGTCGACGCTGACATGAATGATCCCCTGTAAGAAGCGCCACGTAACCATAATTTGTTGTATTGTTTCAGAATTTAACGTCATCCTGCTAATTTATTCCTATTCTGATTTTCTGACTTCAGAAAAAATCTTGCACGCTATGTCCAGATCTCTACATGATGCTCGTTTTCCTTTACTTTAAACTGTTTAGACTTGAATCCAGCAGTACAACTTTGAAAATCTTGTCTATAATATGTTTAACTACGTACGATCATAGTTAATGTTAAAATAATATCTTTCTTACATATGTTTTGCTCTCCACAAAAATACAAAATGTCAAAATTAAAGAATATGAAATCATGCATCAAAATATAATATGGACAATTATCTATGCAAGAGCCACTAGGGGCGCACCATGTGTACTCCATCTGGTATTCTGGTCAACTAGTGTGACTCCCGGTTTGTTTGACCAACTTTACGTTTACAGTAAGGTCAATCTTTTTACGTATATGATAATGAAATTTAGACGGACTGATAATTAACGTGAATATAACGTTTATACATATCTTTTCGAACGAATATAACGTTTATACATATTTAAGTATACTATTGTTTTAAAATGTAAAAAATTAAATTAATTTTTGTAGCACACATAGAATTCAAATATACAGGAATAGGGTGTAGTCAATGAAATGGAAACAGAGATAAAAATCATGTTCTAGAATGAACAGATCACCATAGAAAAATTGGAGCAGTTGCAATTATCAAAAATTAAAATTCCTTTACGTTTACTTATTTATTTTCTCTTGTGTTTTTCAATAGTCATCATTTGCGATATGAAATTGTTGGATTAAATTTAAACATCGTTGCGTTTAAGAATGGCTCTCCTCGTGGGATTTTTTCTCTTCCCTCCTCTAAATTTCTTCTTGTATATACGTTTTTCTAGTTTGGCTAAAGTATACATTTGGTCTTTTAACTTTATACAAGATTTTAGTTTGATCTTTTAACTTTAAAAAGTATACTTTTAGTCTTTTAACTTTAAAATTATTAGTTTTAAATGATAATTTTTTATAACAATCAAAGTTATTTTGAAAATTAAATTTAATACTACCTCCGGTCCTAATTATAAAAGTCAGTTGACTAATTTGAGCAGATTAAGGAAGTAAGTTGAGTTAGTTATTTGTCCTAAATAGGTGTTATTTTTCTTAAAATATCCTTGCTAATCAAGTGAATTAACTAGAATTATCATTGTTAGAAGGACTACTGTAAAAAAAAATATAAATATGAAAAAACAAAGTAGATTGAAGTCTTATATTTATAATTAAAATAAAAGTCAAACAAGATCTTATATTAAAGACCGGGGGTAGTATTACAGTATCTAGTAACATTTTATCAACATTCAAAACTCAATGTTATCATTTCTTGTTAATGGTTATAAGATTAGAGGACTAAAAGTTTACTTTTTAAAATTAAGGGACCAAATAAAACTTTATGTAAAGTTAAATGACAAAAAATATACTTTAGCCTTCTAGTTTTCTCCCTGCTTAAATCAAATCACGTAAATAGCAACACAGTGACGTAAACAACTAAGAAAACAAGTTACAGGCATATATCCACAGTCCACGCATGGGGCAGTATAGGAACACAAAATCCACAGAGCAAGGATGAGACAGAAAAATCAACCGATTCCTTTTGAATCACAATGCTGTAAATGTTCGGATTCCATGAATTCAAAAAATTAAATTGACTTATCCAATCGCTAATGTAATATTGTGGCTGCATTATTAGTGCTCTTCCTATTGAGTTATTTATTAAGGGAAATATTAATAATAAATAAAATACTCCCTCCGGTTCCTATTACAAGCACATGATAATTAACAACTTTACATAAACTAATGAAATTAGTAAAAATGAGTTATTTCTTATAAAATATTAAAATTATTCTTGATAAAATCAATTAACTGTACAGGAGTTCGGTTAATTAGTTAAAAAGTTTTATGATTTGTTAGAAATACTAATATGAAAAAAATTATAATACTTTAAACAAAACATGTTAAAGATCCTGGCAGGAGTATTTAGAATGAAATTGAAACTTGTCCCAGCCGCTTTAAAGATGCCAATCTAAAAGGGAAAATTAATTTAAAGATTTAAAAAGCCGTTTTATCCTTCTATTTATAGTCGACTACAGGGCTATAGACTACAGCTCAGGGGGTTGAAATTTTATAAGAAAAGAAGACCCAAAAATTGCAAAAATTAACAAAGTTAATAAAAAAAAATTATTGCATGTATTGCATGAAAACACGTGTAATTAAATCCTAATAAAAACGCCACCAATCTAAATTCACCTATTTTTTATTTTAAATTTCAACTTTCCCTTTTGTCATCAATTGCATTCGGGGTACGTATGTAGCTATTCAGAAACTTAATACATGGATGGTGGACACAACAATACAAACCATATAGGCAAGCACGTGCACCCACCGCACTTAACCAACTCAGATTAACACTAAACCATATAAGTTTTCTCCGTCTCTATATATGCCTAAACCATCCACTTTCATATACCACAAACACTATATATATATCGTACTATTACTCTCACTCACTTAGCCACACAGTTGTGCACCGATCAGTGTCTCGGATCCACATATATAATATGGATACTGCGACTGTCTCTTCCCCTTGGCTTCTGGGCTTGGCTACGCTTGCATTAGCCAGCCTCCTTTATCGGCTTCTTAAGATCTTTAATCGTCCTTCTCTTCCTCTCCCTCCTGGTCCTACACCATGGCCTATAGTAGGAAATATGCCTCACCTTGGCCCTATGCCGCACCAGGCTCTAGCCGCCCTCGCTCGCCACCACGGTCCTCTCATGCACCTCCGCATCGGCGTCGTTGACATCGTGGTGGCCGCCTCCGCTTCAGTCGCCGAGCAGTTCTTGAAGGTTCATGATGCCAACTTCCTGAGCCGCCCACCCAACGCTGGAGCCAAGTACTTGATGTATAACTATCATGACCTCCTCTTCGCTCCCTACGGCCCACGGTGGCGGATGCTCCGAAAGATCACCGCCGTCCATATGTTCTCCAGCAAGGCCCTCGATGATTGCAGGCATTTCCGTCAGGTTCATTTTTAACCCGAGAGAATTTTCCATTCTCAGCAAG